GGGTGGGTGGGTGGGGGGGTGTATGTTTTTAAATGACAGCATCAAAAGGTGAGCACTCCAGAGCTCGGCTCATCGGGAAACGATCTTCTTGATCTTAACAGAATGGAGGCCTCCTGCCTCGAACTAGCCCTCGAAGGAGAGCGACTGTGCAAAGCTGGCGACTTCAAGGCCGGAGCCGCCTTCTTCGAAGCCGCGGTGCAGGTGGGGACGGAGGATCTGAAGACGCTTAGCGCCATCTACAGCCAGCTGGGCAATGCCTATTTCTACCTAAAGGAATATTCCAAGGCCCTGGAATACCACAAGCATGACCTCACCCTCGCCAGGTAAGCGGCCCGCTGCCTGCGGCTCCCGCCAAACGTGATGGGTCAGGTCTCACATTCAGGCAAGATCCCTGGATCCCAGGCCAGCTGCTCGAGGGAACCGGTGACCGCAACCGAGAACGGAAGTGGGACCCCAGGGGATGACTGTACAGAGAGACTCTGTCTTAACGGGCGGACTGCCACAGGCAGAGGGTTGCTCCCACCCCGGGGGCTGGGAGCTGGCAGCGATGGCGGGGGTGGGGGGGCCGCCTTCTCCCTTCCACCCCGTAGGAGGCTGCTGACTCCCAGCTGCGAGCCTGCGCAGGATGGGAGCCAACACCCCTCCCCTCCCGTCTGCCCCCCGCTGCCACTTCCGGCCCTGTGTGAGGCTGCCGGCTGGGTAACCACGGTAACCGTGGTGTAGGGACCGCTCCAGCCTGTCCATAGTGGCTGCTCCTCCCCCTCTCACCTGGCCCCATTTAATCAGTTCACTGGTTACACTTCCCCTTTAATTGGTTAACCAGTTAAATGTTATTTTACATCCTTAGTCTGCACAGGGCATGGGGCTGGGAGGAAGAGGGAAGAGTGAAGAGGAGTCTGAAGGCAGGGGAGGAAATCTTACCCATTTAAGATCTTAGACCACTTCTTCCCAAAATACCTTCTCCCCAGCGGGGTCACTACACCAGAGGCCATCTCAGTCGGGCCTGTTTCCTCCACGGCCGGCCCAGGCCAGAGCAGAAAGCAGCGCGCGGCCATCTGTTGTGTGAGGGGTCCCCTGCAGTTGGACTCCTGCCTTGAGGAGCGCAGGCCATTTCTAGTGCTGTTGTACTGACCTTCACCAGCACTCGCTGGTCCCTTGCATTGTGGCGGAAGGTGGGGGTGGCGGGGGCTAGCTTTTAGGAACAAAACACAAGCGCCCTTTCCACACCCAAATGCTACATCACGACCGCTCCCCTGTGGAGCATCTAAGCTGGGTGATCTGGGCCAGACTTTCCAAATCCGCCTCTGCCCCCAACAAAATTTGCAAACACGTGTGCTTGGGGCGCGCAGAGAGGCAATGGTTTTGTGTCGCCGTTAGAGGCGTAATTAAGGAGGCCTGCTGAAAATGTGGCCTCAAGGCCCATTTAAAAGTGTTCTGTCTACCATCGGGTGGATTCATTGGAGGGTCTGAGAACCCGCACTCTCTGCAGAGAACGTAGCACCGGTGTGGTGGCCCAGGGGAGCTGCCAAGAGTGGCTTTTTTCCCTGCTTGACTTGCACTCGCTACAGGGCATCTTCAGAACCTTGCTCCCTTCAGAAACTGGTATCAGGTCGGTAACTGGGCTCGTAGACGTGCTGTCTGATGCACCTGCGTGTAATTCCCTGGCGCTCTGTTAGTCCCCAGGGGCTAGGAATTCTGTAGAGACAACAAAATGCTCTGTCCCTAGAAACAAAAGTGAACTCTGATTGAGCAAAGCTAATCGGCCTCCTTGGGCATCGTGTCCTGGTCTTGCCAGCTGAACGGACCGTTGGTGGCGTGTGGGAGCTTCCAGGCTGGGAGGCTGGTAAATAGAACTTTATTTCCCATCCTGGATTGAGAGAACTGCCTGAGGGGAAACACAAATCTGACTCCGAGACTAAATGAGTGTCCTCCCTCCATTTGCACAAGGCGCATGCAGGCTAGGAGCGGATTGGGGATGTTAAATTTTGATTATTTGGCTAATCGAATAGTCGATGCAATTTGCATCAACTATTCGATTAGTCGATAAGGGCGCTTCAGCCTTTGAAGCGTAGCAACAGCCCCAGGGGTGTTGCTACACTTCAAAGGCGAAAGTGCGGTGGGGAGCACAGGGCCAGCGGGGAACTCAAGCAGTCCCCCGCTGGCCCCGGGCTCCCCGAGGCATTTTGAAGTGGCAGCGCCACATGGAGCTCGGGGTCAGTGGGGGAGACCCCAGTTGGCCTCAGGCTCCACATGGTGTTGCCTCTTTGAAATGCTGCGTGCAGCCCAGAGCTGGCCCCGAGCTGCATGCGGCATTTCAAAGCGGCAACGCCGTGTGGAGCTCGGGGTCTGGCCCCAGGCTCCACGTGGTGCCGCTGCTTTGAAGCTCCCCCTCCTCTTCCCTTTCTGATAGAGGCAGCAAGGGGGAGAGGCGGGAAGTGGCTAATCAAATAGTCTGTTGACTATCCAATAAGCATTTGCTTACCGGATACTCGACTAGAGCAGATCGTTCACATCCCTAGAGAAGATGAGTTAAGGGATGGTACGTGGTTACCTAATTAACTGCTTTTTAACTGTGAAAAATCTTGGCAGTTAGTTACACACTGTGGGCTCTGCATTATAAAGCTTTTCCTGCAGAACCCACAACGCAGCCAGCTCCCTGGAACTGATGCCGGCAGTCAGTGCGTGCTGGGAGCCGGCTCTCAGGTGCTTCTGGTGAGCCGGCTGTGCTGCAGGCTTTGCAGTACAAACTTTATACTGCAGAACTGGCAGTGTCGGGCGATAGCTGGGAGCCAGTGTGCACTAGAAGCCTGCTTATAAGCTGGCTCCCGGCGTGCACTAGTTCTCTCCTGCTGCTCTGTTCCCGGGGAGCCGGCTACCACCCTGCATTGCTGCCTCTAAGGCAGCAGCACGAGGTGCCAGCCAGCTACCTGGGAGCCAGTGTGTGCTGGGAGTTGGCTTTTAAGCCAGCCCCACTTCCAGAGAGCCAGCCGCTGCCCTGCACTGCAGGCTCTGATACAGAGGCAGCAGCATGGGGTGGCATCTGGCTTCCCGAGAGCGGGGCTGGGAGCCACTGTTTAACCATTATGGGAACCGGTGAGCTCATGCCTAGTGCCGACTCCTGCTACAGCCTTACATAGCAGTCTGGTTGAATTCTGCTGGCAGTAGGTTAAAGCATGTGCCAGCATTTATAACATCCCTTCCCCTTCTTCTGGTCATCTCATAGGACCATTGGGGACCGTATTGGAGAAGCCAAGGCCAGTGGCAACCTTGGAAATACATTGAAAATACTTGGGCAGTTTGACGAAGCTATCGTTTGTTGCCAGAGACACTTGGACATTTCTCAGGAGCAGGGAGACAAGGTACTTGATCCGGGACGTCCAACAGGAAATATTCCCTGACTTTTAAGAGTCTCCCCGGGGCCAGCCAGCAACTGAGACATCATCGAAGCTGGCTCTGGAAAGAGACTGACCATATCGCCCTCCCTTTCCGTGACAGATCTGTTGCTAGGGAAAGTACAAGTTGAACCTCTCTAGTCCGGACCAGACAGTTCTGGACTAGAGAGGTTCAATCCATAGTGGCAGAGGAAGCAGGGGACGTGTGAATGGATGAAAATGTGGGCAGGGCATGCCTTGAATGTAGACCCCAAATACCCAGGAAACAGTGGATTTCCCCTGTTCCCAAATGGGAACACTGAACCCAAACAAATAGAGATTCACATTCCTTGAGTTCACAGAACGGGGCCCAAGCCAAGAACTCCAGGCTGGTTCTCGGACATCAGTTGTACAGTCCTGGTCTGTTTCTCTGTTTGGTTGCCCATGTGGAAGGAACTGGGTGTCTCTTAGTCCTGTTCCTGGTGGCTCCGCATCTGCCCGTCTCTTGTGTGCACACGCATGCTGTTGCTGGGAGCACTGAGTTGGCAGTTTCAGCAGTGGGGCTAGTTGGTCTCTGAGTCATGGGGGCTGAACACCTCTCTGCCCACAGGATGTTGGCAAGGAGCATTGTGGGAGAGCTGGCTCTCTTCCGGCCTATGCTGGACTTGTTATATGTGGAGACAGATGGTTCCCACCCACAAGGGGCTGGACTGAGACCATCCCTTGCACATAGGCCACCAGGCGCACAGGCCATCAGATGAGGCTCTGAGGTCCCCATTTGCTACTCTTTAGAGCAACATCGCCTAGTGGACAGAACATTGGACTGGGACCCAGGATAGCTGGGTTCTGTTCCCCACTCTTCCACTGGGTGGCCTGGGACAAGACGCCTCAGTTTCCCCATCTGTAAAAGGGGGAGAATGAGTACGATCTCCTTTGTAGAGGGCCTTGATCTACTGACAAAAACCTCAAGATAAGAGCCAAGGACTGTGGAACTGGTGACTCAGACTTAGCGTCTCAGACGAAGCCGTAATGGTCTGCGGGTTCGCCCTGGTTTTTGGCTGGCGGCCCTTTGCCCAGAGCCAGGAGCCTTGGCATTGCAATGTGGAGTGTAACCCCTGCTCTTCTGTCCCCCCCCCAGGTAGGTGAAGCTAGAGCGCTGTATAACATTGGCAATGTTTACCATGCAAAGGGAAAGCAGTTGTCTTGGAACGTGGCCCAAGACTCACGTTCCCTGCCTCAAGAAGTCAAGGAGACGCTGCAGAGAGCTTCGGAGTACTATGAGTAAGTACCAGCCCTTCCCGGATCTGCGGGGGAGGGGGCCGCACTGCCCCGGCACGGTCCTTTAACCGGGTGCCATGGCAAAGCATCTGGCGCGCTTGGGGCAGCTGCCCAGTCAGGTGACGGCTAACCGCACTGGGCTGGTGGCAAGTGATTTTTTTCCAGTAGCCCTCCACTGGGATGGTGGCTGGGGCCCTCCTTACTAAGCCAGCAGGGACCTCGGGGCGGACGGGGGGTGGATCTGCAGACTTTGGACAGGGGAGCGCTGTGCATTCCTCCCCAGTGACCCCCCATCCACCCACCCTTTTGGCTGTCCCTTTGCTCACCTGGAGAGGGCCCTGTGCTCTCCTCTGTGGCAGAATGGGGCCCATCGTGGTGGGGTGTGGAGAGGAGACTAAAGGCAGAAAGTGGGGGGAGGGAAGGAAAAGTTTCAGTGGTTTTCAAGGCCGGACGCGAGGCTCATCTCGTCGGCCTTCCTGCGTAACAAGCCTGAGCCCTCACCCAGGGCCTGCTGGAAAAGGCCCCTTGTCCCCTGCATTAGACACAAACGGCTCCAAAGGGGATCTGAGCTGCCAAGGCCTGCGCTTAGAGCTCGTCCTCCAGCAGCTGGCAGTGGCCGGGACATCTCGACCCGTTCAAAGAGCTGCATCCCTCAGCCCGCCCGAGGTGCCGGCCATGTCATGGGCTTGGGCGGAAGAGAGCCTCTACCCGTGGCAGGCCAGCAAAGGGAGAACTGGCTTTTCCACTGCTCTGGGATGTGTTTATTGATCGCAGTTAAATGGCTTCCCATTAACGAGGAGGGAGAGAGGCATGTGTGCTTAGAGTAGGGGCCTGGATTTCTAAGTTTCTGTTTGGTTCTTTGTCTGAACATGAGCATGTCCCTCACAGCCTGGTGTTCCGAGATACTGAGCAGCTCCCGCTCCCGTGGCAGGGGCTCAGCACCTCTAAAAGTCAGGCTGTTTCTGCCTCCGTTTCCACATTGCATGCAACTTCATTCAACATCTCCGTGCAGTGCGTCAGCCGTGCCGGTCCCAGAGAGACCAGGTGGGTGACGTAAGATCCTTCTCTTGGACCCACTTCTCTGGGCGCGAGAGCCAGCTCTCCAGCTTTCCAGCTGCGCTTTCTCCAGCAGAAGTTGGTCCAATAAGAGATCTTATCTCCTCCACCTTGTCTCAAACATGGAGATCCTGCGATGAAAGGTTCTGGGCAATTGCAAAGCATTGGTATTAGGGTTGCCAGGTGTCCGGTTTTGAACCGGACAGTCCAGTATTTGAGCTTTCTGTTCGGGAAACAAATTGAGAAAATGGAAACGTCTGGTATTTTCTAAAGAAGATGGGATGTAGATTGTGATGTCATGTCAACTGTGTCCGGTATTTTTGTTGAAACCATCTGGCAACCCTAATTGGTATTCATATGCTGCTGCATTGTGTTGGGCCACGTACATTGGCTAAACCGGACAGTCTCTACACAAAATGAAAATGGACACTAATCCCTTATCAAGAATGGTAACAATAGGAGAATACTTCAGTCTCCTTGGACGCTGAGCGATTTAAAAGCGGCCACCCTTTGACCAAAAAACCCCCCAAAACAGACTTTAAAGGGAAACTGCAGAGCTGCAATTCATTTGCAAACTTGACACTATTCAAGTTGAATTAGGGATGTGAAGGTTTAACTGGCTAACCAGAGGGGACTGGAGCAGCTCCAACCCAGGTGTGCTCCAACCCAGCGGCCCTCTCCGCCTCCCTCCGCTCGCCTCCCCTTAATCGGTTAAACGTACTGTTTAAGCAGTTAGCCAATTCAATGAGATTTTACATCTCTAGTTTAAATAGGGCCTGGGAATGGCTGGTTCACTGCGATATTCCCTCTCTTGGGACTCGCCTCCTCATCAACTCTTGGGGGTGGGCCACCCCCACCCCGACTGAATTGGCCTCCTTAGCACCAATGAGCTGACTCCTTTTGTATGTGCTAGCGTGTTTACGCTGCCTCTGTCATTTCCACTCCATGCATCGGACAACGCGGGTCATTGCCCATGAAAGCGGATGCCCAAAGGAATGTGTTAGTCTTTAAAGGGCCACAGGACTGCCCACGGGCATTGCTGCGTGAGGATCTAAAATCCCCAATCGTGCTTCGTGTCTACTCCGAAGCAGGCTCGGTTCCCCTTTAGCGCTGTGCAGGGCCCGTAACCCGTGTGCGTCAGGAGATAAACTGAGACAAAGCGAGAGACCTGCCGGACGGCTCATCCAACGTCAGCCCCCTGCTCCAATCTGAGCGAGCTCAAATACAAGATGGCTCAGATACTGGCACATCCTCTAATGTGAGAGATGCCATCAAGTGCCAGCCAGGCCCCTCTGCCATGTGTCTTGGCCACGCTGGACAGTCCCTGCGACACAGGATCAGACCTCAGCAATGATCACACGCACAAACCTGGAGGGGAACATTTTCACCTGCCTGGGCACTCCCCTCGTGGGTTTAAAAGTAGCCGTTCTGCTACAAAGGAATTTCGCAAGCCAATTAGAGAGAGAGTATAGAATTGACATTCATCTGCAGCTTGGACACGATTTCCCTGGGCTTGAATAAAGACATTAACTGGATGTGGCATTATAAAGCCAGCCTTCCCTGCCTTAACACCTCATTTTCCCATTAAAAGCTAAGAATGGGACCCTTCCAGCCCACTTAATTAGCCTCGTTAGGCCCAGTTCTATAATTGGGGTACCTTTCCCCCAACCCCCTCCTTTTTCCGTTATAAAATACTGGATTTCTGTTATTCCTCTCCAGCTCATCATCTGATGAAGTGGGTTGTGCCCACAAAAGCTCACAGTCCTATATCTATTGTGGTTAGTCTCCAAGGCTGTGTCTACACTGGGCCACTTATTCCGGAAAAGCAGCTGCTTTCCCGGAATAACTTGCCAGCTGTCTACACTGGCCGCTTGCTTTTCCGGAAAAGCAATGAGGATCTACTGTAAAATTGTCAGTGTTTTTCCGGAAAAACTATGCTGCTCCCGTTCGGGTAAAAGTCCTTTTCCGGAAAAACTGTTCCGGGAAAAGGGCCAGTGTAGACAGCACAGTAGTCTTTTCCACAAAAAGGCCCCGATCACGAAAATGACGATTGGGGCTTTTTTCCAGAAAAGCGCGTCTACATTGGCCACGGACGCTTTTCCGGGAAAAAGTGCTTTTCCGGAAAAGCATCCTGCCAATGTAGACGCGCTTTTTCCGGAAATACTTATAACGGAAAACGGTTCCGTTTTAAGCATTTCTGGAAAAGGGTGCCAGTGTAGACATAGCCCAAGGGTACGTCTAGACTACAGACTTTTGTCGACAGAAGTTTTGTCGATAGATACTGTCGACAAAGCTTCTGTCGACAAAGAGCATCTAGACTACAGCCAGTTCTGTCGACAAAGCAAGCTGTTTTGTCGACATGACAGTGTAGACGCAAAGGACAGTGTAGATGCAGTAACGCCGTCTGTCGACGGAACTCTGTCGACAAAAGGCGTTATTCCTCGTAGAATGAGGTTTACCGCCGTCAACAAAACTGCCGAGTTCTGTCAACGTTATGTTGACAGAACTCAGCGGCAGTGTAGACGCAGGTATAGTTTTGTTGACAAAAGTCCGCTTTTGTCGACAAAACCCTGTAGTCTAGACACACCCTAAGGTGCCACAGGGCCACTTGATGAACTAACATAGGACAGCAAGGGGATCGTATAAAGCGTTTGGGGTCAGCGAGGTGAAAGGTCAGGGGAGACTGCTGTGAAGAGCGAGTTAGTGATGAACCTTAATGAGCAAAGCATTGGTCAACAATTGCATTATGGCCCCTAGAATTTGTGTCTGTTCCTTTTATGATGGGGACTGTGGAGATCATAGGAGGGTAGAATTTCAGTGCCCAGGAATTTCCAAAGGAAGCGCTTTGCACATTTTTGCACAGGCTTCTTCAGCTCTTTCTCTCTCTGGGCGGCTAACAGGGAACTGGCATCTTTGTTCCATGGGAGGGATCGGCTGCGTTTGGGTCAGCAGCTGCGGATGGAAGGACCCAAATCCTGTGCACATTGTGATCTGCACCTGCTTAGAGGGGCAGCAGAAGAAGCGGCTGCGTCCCATCGGGCGGCTGCGTGAGAAGGAGCACAGGTGCAGAAACGTCGTGTGGCTCCTAAGTCAGATGTCGCTTGTCTGCACGCTGACCCGTGTCTTAATCCAGCCAGAATGACCAGCAGGCATGGTGCCTCTTGGCTGTCCGTGTAATCTTGCCTAACGGGGGCTCTGCGGTGGGCCTGGGAGGAGTGAGGAAGGACCGCAGGCTTTTCTAATTTAAAAAAAAGAAACCAAACCAATGGGTGACTTTCTGAAAGGCGTTTTGTTTTAAGCCTCTGAGTTTGCCTACCTTGGGTCTAGCTCACAATGGGTCAAGCTCTAACTCGTGTGGTTAAATTCAGTCCCTGAGCATCTGCTTTGATGGCACAATGTTCTCCAAAGTATGAGCCTTTGGAGAGGGGAAGCCGACTCGCAAACTGGCTTGTGCGCACACCGCTGCCCTCTGCTGGATAGAACTAGAACTCTTCAACGCTGCATCATTGGCCCTCTACTGCACTAGCGAATGGAGATTCACCTTTCGTGGAAGTGGTTGGGGCCTGCGTTTTCGGCAGCAGGAGTTTCCAGGTTCTGTCGCCGTGAAGTTCTGAGGCGTTGCGGCGTGTCCCACAATAACAACTTGTGCCTTTGTTCCAAACGACTACAGCCGCGTCCTTAGGCATATCCTTGCGCCTGGCCCATTGCCTGGAACTACATTGGTCCATGCACCCCTGTCTGCGCCAGACCCTTCATGTCCTCACTGTTTCCCCAGGCTGCAGAGGGCAGGGCTGGGGGAGAGGTAGGGCCTGAGGGGGGTTGTTCCAGCCCTTCTCCGGGCGGGGGGGGGCTCCCCCCAGATTCTCCCTCACCAGTCGCCACTACACATTCAGGTCAATGGAGCTGGCTGCCCCGGGCGGAGAGTGACCAGGCGTGCTGCTCTGCTTTCTTTCAGGAGGAATCTGTCTCTGGTGAAGGAGCTCAGGGACAGAGCCGCGCAGGGCCGGGCCTATGGGAACCTCGGCAACACCCAGTACCTGCTCGGCAACTTCAGCAAAGCCACCGCTTTCCACAAGGAGGTAAGGAGCGTGGCCCTCCTTCCCGTGGGGCGTGGGCGAGCCACTCGCTTCCTGCAGCATAGCCTTGTGCCCGGCCCTCCGCATGGCACTGCCTGCGCCCCTAGCCGCGTCAGACGCCGGAGCCTGTCCCCCGCCTCGTGCTGGTAGCGCCTGACTCCCGAGTTATCCCACCGAAATCCGGGGGCGGAAGGGAGCTCTCCGCACGAAGGGGGTGGAGTCTCGCCTGGTCTAGCCACGTGTCCCTGGAAGGCTGAGCAAGGTGGGCGCTGCAAGGTGGGTGCCGTGGGCTAACCCCACCTAGGCGGGGCTTAGGATAGGGCGCTGCGAGCCGCAGGAGGCTGCTGGGGCTCAGACGGGCGGTGTTGGGAGGCCACGCCCGGGGGCCTGTTGGTACCGATCCACAGGGAGAATCCACCTGAGGCGCAAGTGTTTAAAACACGCGTCTGCTCCCGCCACGTTGGAGGCTCAGTTTGGTGGGTTGAGTGTCTCTCCCGTGCGTGAGAGCCGTCCGCCCCCGCGACAGGAGTGAGGCATGTTTGGCAGACGGGAGGCAGCTGGCAGGGTCTGGGCGGGGCGTAGGGGGCTCCCCTCCCCCAGGGCG